TTTTTGGTGGTGCAGTGGTTAAATGCCTGTACTGCAGCCACTCACTCACAAACCACAAGGTTGCGAGTTCAATACCAGCCAGGGCTTAGGCTCGACTCAGGCATGCATCCTTTTGAGGTTGCTAAAATGAGTACCCAGCTTGTTGAGAGCAATTAGCTTACAGTTGTAAAATGCTTAGAGCAGGGGTAAGCAACCTTTTTGATCCTGAGGCCGGGTTGCTGTCACTCAGACAATTGGGGGGCTGAAGCACCAACAATAAATAAATAAATAAATAAAAATTAAAATTAAAAAAAATTTAAAATTTAAAAAGTAAAAAAAAAAAAAATGCATGCATACTCTCTCAGCCCCAGGAAAGCCATGGCAAAACCCCTGTGGAGATTTTGCCAAGAAAACCCCAAGAACAAGTAATAACAACAATAATCAATATCATCATGGCAGGCGGCAGCGGCGGCAGGACCAGCCTGGGGCCGGTCCAAAGGCCTCGGGGGGGGGGGTGCATTTGGCCCCCAGGCCTTAGGTTGCCTACCCCTGGCTTAGAGACTGCATAGCCCGGTGTGAAGCAGTATATAAATGAAGCTGCTATTGCTACTGCTATTTGGGTAAATAGGGTTGTGGGGAGAGACATTAGTACTACAACTGCCTACTGCCCTAGCAAAATTTTAAAAAGAAAACTGGAGGACCGGAGAGAATCTACAACATACCTTCTAAAGTAATTCCTGTTGGCTCAGGAGTGATTCGTCCATCAATTTCAAGGGTATTGTGAGCAACATCATCTTCAAAGGCAGGATGATAGTTTACATTTTCCTCCAAGCCCCTCTGTTCACCAGGAGATGTCTCTTCGTTTTGCTTGAAGTATCTCTGAAGCCAAGTTGGAACAATACTTTTCACAGATTCCTTCACAATATTCATAATTCCCTGTTTTAAATAAAGAATGAAGGGCTTTAAATTACATTGAGAAAGTCCATTGCAAGATCCAAATTACTACGTTAAAATTCTACTTCAGTGTATCAGAACATAGACTCATTTTGGCAGCTATCTGGTAACAAACCGTAAATCTCAAGATTCATTTAGTAAAAACCTTTTATTGATGAGTCTGTTATAACTTCGCTCCAATTATATTAACGTTTCAAAATGACTGTGTGTTGGAATTACAACTTTAACATGTAATTATGGCAAATGTTCTGTTACCCTTTGATAGGTGTGACTACCCTGAAACTTCCTCACCTCCTCAGTTTCCCAAACCTTTTATATCCTGAAGGGGAAGAGAAAAGCAAGGAAGACACGCTTGGATTCTGCAAGTCTGTCCCCTCTTAGCAACTTTCGCTCCCC